ATAACAACCTCTTTGCTCTGCTCTTGCTTCTTTAAATAATTCAGGGGGTGGACATTCATTCAGATGACTAATAGCGGGAACTCAGGTTGTGTTCTGTGTCAACCCATCCTCTACATGCCACAACCTAATACAAATTTAAGTAAAAAAACAACATTTGCCACTCAGCATACAATCATGACCACATGTAAACATACATGCTTGTCCCCTCAGCGCTAGTCTTGCCCCCACTGTCAACAGCCTAAGGTGTCTACGTGGTCCCTGTGGCTTTGCTAATGGATTTAGGATATAAATCTATTATTTACTCAGCCAGTTAACACTACCCTGAGGCTGCTTTCATTTTGTCTCAGGAGACGCTGCTGTGGGTCTTTGATCATGTGAGGTAATAAAAGCGAGTGAAAGAAACTAGAGCATGTTTTGATTGTGTTTTATTTACAAGTGTATTTGCTTTGAATATTCTCACTTTGCTGTTTGTGCTTGTGTGCACGTTCAGGTGCAGAGACCGGCTCCAAATCACATCTAGATCTAACACAATCAATGCATTTTTAAGGACTAGAAGGGAAAGATTAAGAACAAGCAGGGCTTAAACGGGTCATTGGTATTCTCCTGCACTCTTCACATACTGGGCTAAACACTGGATTAATTGCAGTGTATGGAAAGAAAAGCAAAGCATAACCCCTGGACTTAGAGCAGACGGATTGGCATCGATCGGCAGGGCTGCAGCTAAGCATCACTCTCCAATTATCTGTGATTCTCCTCAGTGGAGAGAGCCTGTATGTGCCATCTGCCTCCCCTCCACCCTGCCACTGCAAACACAAAGTGGGCTTCACCTTTACATTCACCCTCATGCAGAGAAGACACAGGCCGCCAAGGATTCGGCTCAACAACCAAGAATGAAGGACTTAACCCACAGCGAGTACACTACCCCCTGCATCTTAAGATTCTCTAGAAAGGAACAAGACAATAAAACTGCACCGCATTTTCACTAAAGTCAGAAACTCCGAAAAGCTGAGGCCAGATGTGCGGTGGCTGCAGTTGCCGGTTCTCGGCCAGGTGGACAAGTGGATGTGTGTCCTTCAACCAGCCAGACCGAAGCCAAGCGAGCAGAGTCAGACCGGGCAGATGGCCAAAACTATTAACCCCAATTAAAACCAGGAACCCTCCACGCATCTCCAGAGCTCAGCCATACGGACACACCACAGCGCTGCCCGCGAAGGGCACGGGGCAGACGGACGTGAAAGGCAGGAAGAGGACAAACAGACCACAGAGACTGAAGAAGAAAAGATCCAAGATGACAATTTTAACTTCATGAGGAATATGCGCACGTTGCATCTTCACTGATAACCAACATCACATCGGTTACAATGCAAACTCTATTTATCTAAACACAGATCATACAGCACTTGAAGCAATGAATAATGTAGAGACCAGATGCTTAATTAGTCAAGTTCTAAATGATATTTTCAAAAGAAACAAAAATTCAGCTTCAAACAGAGAAAAATTCAGTGTTTATAGAGAAAGAATTTAATTATATCAAAGTATAAAGTAAAGAGAAAGCATAGTTTATAAATCAAGGGGTTCAGTGTTTTTTGAAAATGAGGCTCTAACCAGACGGATTGGCAATGCATGCAAAATTCAATCAAATTTGCTTTCAAACGGACTGAAAAATGGAGCACATTTATTCTATTCCGCCTGTTTAGACATAAACAAGAACAGCGATTTCTACATTTGCTTTCCTGCTTGATTTATTGCCATCCTCCTTTCCAGCAATCAATTTCTGTGTTTCAGTGGCAGCCCCCTCCGCTCGTCCTCGGCGCCTGCTTGGGAAAAGCAGTGCTGCACCCTGCTGATAAACAAGGGGAGTGCACGAGGGAAGGCAGGCTGTTAAACAAAACCTGTGTAAATACTGCACAAGACAAAGTCTCCGAGGTCAGTTTAAAGCATACGTGTTGTGAACAGTGTGTCATTCTTAGGCTTCGTTGAAATCACACCTGTGATTTCTGCATTAAACCCAAACCCGCTTCCCAGGGTCGACACGACTGCATGATCTTATGCCAATTAGAGTCCCGGATGGATTTCACCTCACACGTCACACCTAATGCAGAGTGACCTCCACAATAAGCTTTCAGTGTGTGCATCCGATCAGATCGATCACTCTGCTCTGTGCCTGTGTTAGTCAACGTACACACAACAGCAGTGCTTAATAAATATAATACGATTATTAAGAGCTGAAACAACCAGCTGGTTAATCAAGTATCAGAAAATTAATCAACAGTGCTGACAACTGAGTCATCGCTTAAGTCCGTTGTCAAGCAAAAATGTTTTCGTGCCAGCTTTTCAAATGCGATGATGAGATAGGCTTCAGTGTTTTATATGATTTTAAATGGAATGTTCTGGAGTGTGACTGTTGGTCAGACATGTAAAGACATCATCTTTGACTCTAGAGACTGGTGACGGGTAGTTTTGACAGCAAAATAATGCAGCAGTGTGGCAACAAGGATGACCTTCATTATCGATTGTTTTCCATCAATACATAGTGAAAACAACAGCAACAAAAAACCGATGGTGATAGTTGCATATGACCTCTCTGTCTGCCCACTGGTCCAAGACTAAAAATTGGAGACAAGGACTGAGGATGTTGGGTGGTTCTCAAGTGGTGTATTTGGGTCATCGTTTCCCTCACTTGCATCTTTTTCCTTCCGTCCAAGTACCACCACAAATTTGAGGAGTGAGGACTGGTGGAAACACGTTATTAACAACATGAGACATCCTTTCACCAAATGATTTCTGATAAAGAGGCGTGTCATAAAAACAAAGGACGTTCTCATGCGTCCTCGCTCATGGCTCCTCCAGCAGCCTCCTCACACCTCAGAACTGGTAAAAGTGACTCGGAACATGCTCGATCCTCGGTCGACCAGAACAACTTCTGGAGGATTGATCATATAAGAGACATGAGAAACACCCTTTGTCAGGGAGGATCTCCATCAACTTCAATAAATGGATCTGCTAAGGACATTGTGGAAGAGGTGGTCATCATAATGGATACTAGTAGACAATATGAAACTGTCTCTCCATTATTATAAGATTACAGAAGAACACCAGGAGACTGGCTTCCACTTTAGCTGTCAAAGAAGCAGAAGAGAGACTGATAGCATGGAGTCATTTGAGCTATTGGTTACTCTGAATGAGGTATGGGCTTATTGGACGCAGGCATCCGCCACTGGTTAACATTGATTTCCACTCACTCTTTCAGTTCTCTGTGCCCTTGTGCAAATGTCTCCCTCTTATTTTTTCCCCTCTGACTCCCTCCCATTCCCGTATTTATCCAGAGACGCCTACATTTTTCCTCAACAATCATCAATGCACAACACAGAGACATGGAGGTCTGTCTGCACAGAGCATGGTAATAAAAGACACAGGGTACAGAGGGATGGAGTGAAAAACAAAGAGGAAGTGAAAGAGAGAAGGCAGTGTGGAGGGGGAGACAGATTGGGGGGGGCAGAGATAAAGTGGAAGAGAGACAGAGCAGGAAACAGAGGGAGAGAGGGAGGTGTAATTATCTATCAGGTGCTCGGGTGTGCGTGACAGAAGAGGAAGCTCATTAGCACACTCTGTGTACACCAATTACACAGCCAGGCTTCTCAGGGCATTCCCCTGGCATGTCTGTGTGAGGCTGAGCGGGGACACTTTCACTCTCTGGTATCAGCACACACACTGTTTAACCATTCTCTACGTAAAACACTGTTCTGAACATGCACATGTACCCAGGAACACTCATCACTCTCAGGCTGAATACACAATGTCCACTCTTAAATTAGCTGACTAGCAGTAAAAATGTCAGTCCAGCAGAACGCTCTGGTTACTGCTGATGTTACTAATGTTACACAAAGCTCGAGTCACTCCCAAATCAAAATATTAATTCAATACAAGGGTAAAATCCTGACCACGCTAGGTGAACTGATGTTACCAACATAAACATGTTAGCTTTAGATGCTAACACATCCAGAAGGACAAAAGCTACACCTGAATCCAACCCGAGTCCTTTGGCTGCTTTTAGCCCCCTCCATGTTTCTCCACTGACAAAGGGTGTATCAGACAGTGTGCACACGTGCACCTTTAAGATAAATGTGCACGTGTGCATTTCTGGACATCTCACCTGTGGAGGTTGTTCTGGGTGGATGAAACCACTCCCACGTTGGCGACAGACAGGACCTGCTTACTGATGGCCTGGCTGGAGCAGTTTGCTGTTGCCATGGTGATGGTTGCAGAGGTCTCATTCATGCCCAGGAGTTTACCTAAGAGGATTCTGCTATTACTGTAAATTCTGTGCATTTGTCCAGTTTAAACCTGGATTGAACATTTGGTTGCAATGAACATAACTACAATTCCACAGTCAAGTGTAACACAACTGCTGTGTCTCCTGATGACACAGAACCATAAAGGTGTATTTTAGATACAAATACCTGGATGTCACAGAACCTTTTACAGCTCCACCGTGGCCACATTGTCATTTTTAGTTATAGATTATAGGAATCAGAGAAAAACTGGTCACAAAATTTGATTTTCTACAACTCTACCTGAGCCAACAGGCTGGAAACCTTAGTGTTACCTTTGACTCTGAAACACATTTTAGGTATTATGTGGGGTTTGTTGCTACATCTGCTTTTAAATCATTTCAAAAACACGCTTAAGTGCATCCATTTCTCTCTCTCTCAATGACATATAGAGACTGAGGTGCATTTTTCTATTAAGCAGACTGGACTAGTGTTAAAAAAAAAAGAAAACTGATACAATGAGCTGAGAGAGCAGCTGAATTTAAAACCTATCATTTTAGCTTGACTTTTACAGCATTATTTATTCTGTTTAACCACTGCATTCATGTTAAAATGCTTTGGTTTTGTTACATATATTATTTCTTACTCTCTTATCTGGTTTATTATGCTTTATTATATCTCATATTTTTTTTTGTTTTGTACATTAGTTTGCATTAGTTTCAAAGTGTTTTCAATTTCAAGAGTTGGGGAAAAAAGGCCAACTGGAGGCAAGAGGCCAGTTCATGTGCACTTAGTAATGAAAAAAGATCTGAAATAAGAGTGGAGATAAATATGCACATGTTCTGTAGAAATAAAAGAAATAAGGGGTCTTCAAAGCAAATCTAATGAAAACCTGTTAACTGAAAGAATTAATTAACCTCACTCAACTGGTATAAAGCAGCAATTTGCTAGGGAGAAAACAAGAGCAGCAAAGCAAGTTACTGTGCTCCATCTTCTCTTTTATCTGAGTGCAGGGTGCATTCAGTAAAGCTGAAAACACAGCAAAAGATGAATTAAGGCAGCAGCATTTAGCAGCCACTGATGGCTTAGATAGGAGTCTGCTGTCAGCTTTCAATGGCTGCCCCCAGTATGTAGCTCTGTAAGTGGGTGTGCTCGTTAGGGTTGTGTAGGAAACACCATTAAGTGCTTCATAAGAGGGAAGCATTTTGCCTTAATGACAAATGTGTGGGGATGTTTGAGAGGCAGCCTTCTAGGAGTTTAATTATTTTTATAAATATTAATGACTGCTTACACTAAAGAAAACACTAGCTTTCTAATTTTAAGAGTTAAATCAGCACCTTTGTCATTAAAACCCACAATTTGATTGTTATTAGGTCTGTAAAATGTATTTCAGATGGTTTCAATATTTGGAACAATTCAATATTCACCTTAAAAAAAGATCAGGTAATGTTTTATTATTTATTTTTATATCTTATTGTCAGCAAACCCCATACAAAAGACCGAAACCATCAGTGATTACTGTCAGTGTATGAACAGCCTGATGTTCATTTCTCTGTGCCACAGCCTCCATTATTGTCTAGAAACTATTTAAAACACATTAGTGACCCACACTGGCTGAATTGTTCTTTCATTATAGAGCTAGACCAAGATAAATCAGCCAATATTAGTTATTTAATATTACTTATTTATTTGAAGTCATTCCCACATACACGGCTATAAAAACTAACTAGCCCACTGAATGTTGATTAACCCACATGTGAAAATAGCTCAGAATAGATGCAACAAATTTCCTTCGAATAAGCTTAATCTGCAGCAACATAACAAGAAATCGTTTAGAACAAACAGTCAAACATTTCTAAAAAATGTTGTGTACCAACAGGTAAGCAAATTATTCTTCTACTATGACTGATTTAATTCTACACTAAGTAAAAATCAACACCATATTAAGGAACTGTTTACTCAAGATGTTCGCTTTTAACAACATAATGCTACAACAGCTCTGCAGCTACTGCCTTTATGTTTCTGCCATGTTTGAGCTACAGTAGTACATTTTTCTTTTGTTTTTTGCGCTGACGCAGGTTTAATTTACCTTGTTCCTTGCAGAAGTCCTGCTCTGTCATGGTGCTGGGCATCACTAACTCTCCTACAGCAGGTTGGATGGACACATTAAACTGGTCCTCCTTGGTGCTGGGGAACAACACAACAGTATAGAAACTGTTACTTATGTACTGGGTGTCTAAAATAGAAAGTTCGACGAGATTCTTGTGAATTATGACTTGTTGCAAGACAATGCTTCAGCTCAAAAGACAAACGACATCAGTCCAGTAACGAACAAGGACCTGTGTGCAATAGTGTGTGTTTTTGGGTGTACTTGTGTTTTGTTTGTGTATGAAATGTTCCTCCTTCGACTGCCTTGTTAATCACGCTCTATGAACGGCATTTTGGGCCGAATTGATTCCCCCATCCTGAACAGATTTTCTGATAAGATTATTGATCAGCTGAACAGCCGTGCCGATGGCATTCAGCAAGCTGAGTTGGGCTGATTACTGGAGCAATAACTGTTATCCTAGACAACTGGGATCAATTGTGGCTGATGTCTCACCTGGGAGTGCTGGCACAGAGCGAGTAGGAAAAAGTGAATTAACACAGAACAAACGAGGGAGGAAAAGAGTGAGAGAAGATTCAAATGAATGTAAGAAAGAGGGATGCCTAAGGGAGATGTGATGATGGATCTGAGAGCAGTCGCAGACAAGCGATGAAGAAGGTACACAACCAAAGATCTGACAGAAAAAAAAATACGCCCGACTTGGTGCAAGTGGATGTCAGGTTGTCTTACCACAACTGGAAGTTGGCTGCTTGTGTTGAGTCGCTAAAGTCAATACCCATGGAAACTGTCACCGAGGCCTCTGGCTCCAGCCGCTCTGAGAATGGAAAGAGGAGAGGAAAGGCAAGAGGAGAAAAGGAAGAGTGAGTGACAAGGGCACAGTGTGCAACAGAGGAGGGACGGAGCAAGGGGGGGCAGCAGAGTGGAACAGACAAGCATCCACACCACTTGTGTTTTCACTTCGCAAAGCAAGGCCACCGTGTGTAAGAAATCTATCCTTCAATCTCAATCCACACACCTCTAGCCTCTGAGAAATAAAAACACACACACGAAGGACTAGCATATAACAGGCTTGTCAAAGACAGCGTCAACATCAAGAGAGATGGGGTGAGGGAGAGAGAGAGAGAGAGCTGACAAAATGCAAGCTAGACATAGAGGTGAGTAAAAATGCTGGAGAGAGAGGCTGGACAATTGCACGCGAGCAGAGGGAGGTTAAGGATGAGAAGAACACAGACAGACAGAAACATCCTCCACGCTCCCCCAGCCGGCCTGTGTTTCCCTCTCCATGGAGCATGGCTATTTTACTGTACAACTCTTTCCAAAGACAGAAGAAACAGCAGAGGCTCCAGAGGAAACCCCCAGAAAACAGAGCCATCATGGACTCAACTCCAGTCCAGCTTTCACAGCTTCTCAAACAGGCTCTCTTTTTCTGGCTTTAGCTTTCGTCTGTTTTCCATCCCTAGTCTACTGTGTACATTTAAACCATAAGATAAATAATTCAACATGCCATCTGAAGCTGCTTATTTTATGAAAAATATAACATAGATGTTTATAAGCTAAATATCCAAAGAGAAATCAACTGTTTCACCAGGAAACAGCTGTTCTGCCGTTTCTTAAACCACTTGTTTGCATCTGTCACCTTTGACACATTTGGCACATGACCTTAATTTAAAGGAACTATTCAACTCTTGCCAAGACTTAGATGAGAAGATCAACACCACTCTAGTGTCTGCATGCTGAATATGAAGCCGGAAGCAGCAGGCAATTAGGAACCAGTAACAAAGTCCACTTACCAATAATTAACATGATCTTAGGCTGACTGTACCTTCATGTCGTATTTAGCATACAAATATGAGAGTGGTATTGATTTCCTTTAATAACTGTAATGTAAAAGTATTTTTGGAAGGATAACTCAACAGCTTGTATGTTACTCTCACAGCTTTGACCATCATTTCCATCACTTGTACTCACCGGTGTAGCCAGTGTGTGGGAATACAGCAACACAGTCCAACAACAGGTCAGATGTTCAAACACATGGTCAAGAAGACAATACTTGTTTATCTAAACCTTTATATTCTGAGGTAAAACTAAAAGTGAGTGAGTGCACCTACATGCATAACAACGGTGGGCACACATATTGTAAGTAAAGTATGTAGGGGGAAGTTAATGCAGGAAGTTGGTCTATAGGTTTGGGGGTTTGTTTACAATCTGTAGCATCATCACACTGCAACACAACAACTGTCCTTTATAAAACTCCCAAAACTACTTGGTAAAGGCAGGGGACAGGTTTTTGTTGGCAATTAGTTAACAAGAAAGATTTGAATTGATTTAGGGACATGTCAGTAAGACAATCACAAACACTAGTTCATTTTAAAAAGTGTGCAATATTTCTTGTCAGAAACAAACCCCGTCATGTGTTACTCCTTTCCTATTGCGCACAAAACACCACTGCTTTGTCTGTATTCATCCCCTTCAACTTATCCACATCCAACTCCAGCCACCCACTCACAGCAGCCGGACTCAATCGATCCAAATTACCCACCGTTTGCCTGCTTGAGTTCCTTCAATGCCCAATCAATCCCCTGCAATTGACAGTTTTAACGTGCTCCACTGCACACCACTTCTGTGTGCGTGTGTTTGTGTGTGCATGAAAAAGAAAATCTTCAGGGAGGACAGTTCTCAGTGCAGCAATCATACAACAGTGTGACAAGAAATATGGAGACAGTGAATGTATGTTTATCCTGATCGATACTAATGAACAGGGATTAGCTGAAGTAATATTGGCTGTTTTCAAGTGGGTGGAATGGGGCTATTTGCTGAGCTGATAGCGAACGGGCTAAAAGGTTTTTGATAACGCAATGATCTCATTAAGATCCGTCGGAGAAAACAATCATAGTGTAAAGCTGCAGAAATTCCAGAAAGCCACTGTGAAAGACCAGGACTAAAATCAGGTGTTGCTCATACTGAAATAAACGTGGTACTGTATGACACCTGAGTTCAACCCCCTTGTCACCCAACATGTGGCAAGGGGCCCATAAAATGATAATGTCATATCAAAACAAGAATATGTAGAAGTGCTAACGCCCCAGTTTTCTTGGAAGACTGAAAAGAAAAACAAAATAAAATGCCAGAAGATGTCAAGCAACTAAACCTCAACTTTTTTGCGCATTTAGTTTAGTTTGTCTACGTGTCAGTGCTGGGTGGACCCCGCCTCTCATGCATTGTGATTGGCTCCAGCCCCTCTTCAGGATAAGAGATATAGATAATGGATGGAATTTTTAAGCTTCATTAATTTAATGTGCAACAGTCATACTCACCAATGGTGTTAAAGCAGTGGATATTAAGGCTCGCAGGGCTTCGGCCTCCGACATGGATCTCCTCTAGGCTGTGGTCTGAGCTGTTGGTCAGTATGATCTGTACAGCCACCATACTGGGCTGGTACAAACATGGCTGCCTGGGGAAATGATACTTGGCGGAGAGACCTTTTCCTGTCATGTGGTGAAGCAGCTCATGGGTTTTCACAGGGCTGAAAGATGAAGTGGTGACCTAGAAGAACATATGAAAGACAGGGATAAACTTCAGCTACCACTACTACCGCCCATAGGTTTGGAGCTCTCTGTATCAACACAATATCCAGGGGACACCTTGTACATTACAGTGCAAATCCATCCACACAAGAGGGCAGATTAATGCAAGAATCTCTGGTCTTTCCATTACCTATATTCACGCAATTCATTGTATCCAATCAGCAGGCAGAATGCAGCGCTTAGTTTGTTTACTAACCAACCCCACCAGCCTGCCTTCATTAACTCTGTAGGGTAAAGAGGAGCACTTTAAAGAAATGTCCCAATCTGCCTGGTTAAATGGAAATGGGCTGGATGCTCAGTCAAACTAGGATGAATAAAAACAACCTCTAATGAGGAGAAACACAAGTGGCTGCTTTGGCTAAACCTGTTATTCACAGGCCTTTTTAAAGGGGCTTTTACCATTTCAGACAAAGGAAATTGCATTACCTTTGATATTGAAAAGAAAAGAGTTGGAGATTTTTTTCTGTCCTAAAAATTGTTACTTAGATGAACGTTGTTCACTCCTGGTGGTTTTTCACTTGATGGCAGGTGCTGTCATCTTAGACAGATAAGATGTGTCGGCCCACACAATAAACTATACATATTGTACTGTCAGGCGAGGGTATAATCGCATTTATGTGCTTCAATGTGAGACACGCCTCTGGGGTATCTACAGATGGGTGACAAATGAAAGGACGACCCAACAGAGTCTCAGTGAGGAGCTGGGCCACCACGTGCCACCAGAACAGCTCCACCTTGGCAACGACTCTCCAAGTCTCTGAACTTATTTATTGGAGTTGATGGAGATCCCTCCTGGAGGGATGAACACCGTTCTTCCAACAGATGTTCCCTCATGTGGTGTTTTGATGATGGTGGTGGAGACGCTGTCTAACACATCGCTCCAACACCTCCCATGGGTGTTCACCTGGACTGAGACCTGACTGGGAAGGCCACAGCGTCTGGTTCACATCATGGTCATCCTCATCAGACCAGTCAGTGACTCCTTGTGTTCTGTGGAGGGGGGGCACTGCCATCCTGACAAAACACTCAAGTTGTTCAGGGTTTTCCTTTAACATATCACCAGTTTGAATGTCAACAATATAAAATAATCAAAGTCATCATAAAACTTTGACAACTTTGAGCAATTTCTGCAATCATAAAGTCAAAGCGAGGTGTGCGAACCGGACTAAAAATAGGACATAAAGAAACGGTGAAAACAAGCAGGCATGATGATACAGTACAGAGTGGTGTTGGAAAGGTGTGGGGAGGTTATCTACTGCTATTGGACCATCCGAGTGTATGAAGCTCCCCTCTGGATCCACAGTGGAATCCCTGTTTACTATGAACCTGTGGCTGAGAATAGCCCAGTGTATGCACTCCTACTGTTGGGGTGAATAGGCTTTGGGCTGAGTGCCACAGTTCAGGTTTCTTATCGACCTCAGAATCAAAAAAGTCAAACTGCAGCCAGCCCAAGTCTTACAAGATACAGAATAAACTCTCGGATCGACAACGCTATCTTCCCATTGCCTTGATAGACAAGCGCCATCTCTTGTGCCCAAACTGCCCAAGTGCCTGTAAAGGAGGTCAAACAAACATTTGCTGCTGCGCTGTAACGCTGCTGTGCCCTCACAAGCGCCCGTCACGCCACTGCCAGCCTGCAAATTTATTGGGCCACTTTTGGATGTGTCAGAGCAGTCGGTGTCGATAAAGCTGGCTGTAATGTTTGCCACCCCATCACAACAGAGATTTACCTCTCTGTGACACATCCTGCTTCAAGGTCCTGTGTGTCGCCTCGTCCTGAGCACGCGGCAGTGACAAGAGGGAGGAACGGAGACAGGACACGACTTCAAACTGCTTATAATCACCGATTTGACACAGCGGACAGTTAAGAAGCCCACGAGAGCCCCTTCACCCTTCCAACTGTTGCTGCCCTGTTGTCCTGTTAGAGCACAGCCCATGACACCTCAATGAACGGTGTAACTTTGACTTCTCTGTCAATCTCGCTTTGTGTTGTTGTTGTTGTTGTTTTTGTCGCTGGCTTTGTTTCCACTCTGGACAGGAAGGAGGGAGGTGACAGTGAGAGAGGAAGTTGATTGAGAGGCTCTATTATGCATCAACTTAAAGGAAGATCCCGTGATGGATGACAGAGACACCAGTCACCTTCAGAGCCCGGACGCCACGCTCCCGGCATCCTCTTTGGCAAATGACCTGAAAATCCCGCTGACATATTCAAAAGGGCTAACCGGAGCCAGGCAGCCTTGTGCCGTGCGCATAAGAAGGCCAATTTAAAAGAAAAGGGTGTGGGGAGTACAGAGATGTATGGGCATATATTGAAAATCCATTTCTGCTTTTCAGGCACCATCTGCCTCTAACACCAGGGAAAGGGTTTCATTATGCTCTATGAGAGTTGTGAGGGTTAGAATATGGTTCATGTTTGACTTTAGGGTCTAATTGTTCCCTTCAGTCATAAGATGACAACTAATTGAGGGGTGTCACAAAGACCTTGACTGCAAATTGAATTAAATAAATGTTACTACAGCCATCTACAACTGCTTTAATGTAACAAGAAGCATCTCCAGTGCACATAGGCAGAGGTTAGTTCATTTATGCCAATTTGTCAGTAAATTGGCCATTCTAAAATGATTAATTTTGAAATTTTCCATTAAAGAACATTAGCAATAATCGAGGACTGTTATTCAGAAACAGCAGTGTCTTTCATCTAGTTTTGCAAGTGTTGTTAAACTGCCAACAGCTTCTTTTTATCAGCATGACATCATCAATTAATTGGTTGATTATCCACTCAACTATTCTATTGATCACTTGGTCTATGAAATGTGAGAAAAGGCTAAATGCCTGACACCCCACAGTGCAAGTTACTATCATAGAAAACTAAAGTGCAGAAAACACATCTGAAAAACAAGGCTGAGTGAAGTTTTGGCATTTTTGGATGGAAGATGATTAAATGTTCAAAGAGAACTACACATAAACAGGAATGAAAACATAAAATGCAGATACACACACTCCAAAACTGTGCATCTTTTCATGACATTTAAATTAGACCAGTTTAATAAATGTTTTTACTGTACACATGAACTAGATTCTTTATTCTTGTTCCACTTATAAATGACCACCAATGTGTTTAGTATTTAACTTGGCACAGCACTGTACATAGAAGGAACCAGTGTGTACTTGATTTGCTACTACTTTATACTTCTACTCTATCACATTTAAGAGTAAAGCACTATTATACTTTTACTCCACTAAATTATTGAGTTCTAAAGGTCTGAGTTTCTCAAAGCAGGTGAAAAACATGTGTCCATGTGGTGAAAAAGCATATTTTAAATGGCTTTGTAAGTTTTCTAGAATAATGAATGTATCATCTCAAATTTCTTGAATAATTTCTATAGAAAACAGGCTGAAATAACTACACTTCTAGAAAAACAAATCATATTTAACTACCTGGTATGGTGTTTTTTTTTTTTTTTTTTTTTTTTTTTTTTTTTTTCAGACCAAAAATTTTCTTACAAAAAATTAAAATTTTGTTTCACCTCCAGTCGACATTAAAACACTTACATGTTAATGCACCAGTAATAATAATCTATCACATAATAATAAAACACTGAATGGGGCCCCTGTGCATAATGAGTACTTGTGGTACTTTAAGGACATTTTAGTGATAATTCTGCCCTTCAATAAAACTTCAACAGAATAACAGAGCGTCCTTATACTGTGGTACTTGTACTTTAGTCTGAATAGCACTACAAGAAACAATACCACAACAATTTTCATGAGGATGTAAATATGGCATCACATTTCTAAACTTCAAAATAAAGGTCTGAGACCCTAATTCACTACTTAAACTGTTTAGTGGTTTGTTGAGACACACTGTTTCAGTAGACCATAAAAACATCATGAAAATATTCTCTGTTATGACCAAGTAACTGATTTTACTAGACAGAAGATGACACACATATAAGGAGAGATTTTTAGGGACCACCTTCATGACCTCTGTCACCTCTGAAAAGAATAAAAGGAAACAGATAAAATATTACTGTTACTAAGAGAGGAAATCCTGTAACAGCTGCATTAAAGCACAAACATTTCCCCAACTACCCACTGGCTGCATAGGCCGCAGCACTGACTGGCTATTTTCGTGTGAGCATTTATTCCCATTTAAGAGGCAATCTCTGCAGTTTGAGTGGCAGGGGGAGGGTTGGGGGGGGGGGGCTGGGATGTGGCGCTCTGGGCCCGTCTGCTGATTCATAATTAGACGTGAACCCAGAGCGCCCACTATGGGGAGGTCAGAGAGGTGAGGAGGGAGACGAGAGAAGAAGAGGGGGTGAGCTGGCGCCCGCCTGATGGACACCAAATGAACAAATTATGATGGCCCCCTCTGGGCGTGATGGGGTCAAACGCCCTGTGCCCCTCCGCTGACAGTTCAATTTCCCCCCCACGCAGCTCCATTCGCTGACTGCTAATTATGAACGAAAAGTTATCAGCCTCAGCCGCCCCGCCACACACACGGACAGCGGTCGGAAGAGGTTTGGGGTGGAGTGGGGAGGGCGGGGGATTTAAGAGGCATTTGAGAGAGATCCTAATGTCAAAATGTTATTAGAGAGAACGGTAGCATGCAGAAACTGGGGAGAGGATGAGGAGACAGAGGAGGAGGTGGGTCAAAGACAGTGACCAGGGTTAATCTAAATGCCTTTGATAACCATGCAGTAATTCTCTAAAAGGGCCTGAGCGCTCAGCTGAGACAGACTCACTGCCTCTGTGGGCAGATTGCTGAGAAATAGAAATGACACTGGGGCCAGTGTGTGCGTGTGCGAGACAGAGAGCTGATATGGAAATGTGCGCCTGCACGAGAAGGGGCGGGTGTGAATAAAGGTGAGGTTATTTACCCTTGTCTATGAATCCCGATGCCCATCATGTATTTATGCATAGAATTGACTCTAAATCAGATGTTGATGTGCAAAAAGTTCCCTGTTCTAATCTGCATTTCTATTCCCTATTACTCCCTGGCCTTCACCTAAGGAGGGAAGAGTGACTAACAAGACTTGTGCTGCATAAACGCTGGCCTGAGAGCAGCTGTCAATCATACTGACTGACAGGCAGACTCTCAATGTAGAGAAACTCGCCAGAAAGCCGAGCTGGGACAGTGTAAAAGATACAGCTGCAGCAAGTACGCATTCATCTACACTACCAGTCAGAAATGGGGACACACTTTCCCACTGAACTGAATGGGGAAAGTGTGTCCAAACCTTTAACTTGTATTGTAGATGCAGGCAAGCAAACTTTAATATAAACCATCCACCTGTATTTAGATTCAGGGCTTAAAGAGCAAGAACCAAAAACCAACTGCCAGCGCTTGTGAGAATCATTGTCAAGTTTTGTTGTTTCTGCGTTTTGAACTGTTGTTTTTGAGAAAACAAGTATTTTTAAAACACTGGCAACTTGTGATACCACGTTTCTGATGTTTTAATTATTAACAATTACTCAAAAACCTGCAAATAATTTCTTAATGAAAACAAGTGTTGTTATAGTGACAACAACAATCAAAATTCAAGTCAATTCCCAAAATAAAGCACATGTCAAACACCTGTAATGCTAAACAGACGGGATTCACACCATCAGGAGTCTGATTAACAATCTACCCCTTTCTGATTATAAAAATCAAAACAGCAGTGTTACTACAGACTTGGCTATGAATCACAGAATAGACAGAGCAACAGCAGAAAAAAATGGTCTGGACATTTTCCCCCCAGGGGGAAGACGAGACAAGATACAAAATACACTGAACGTGCAGAGCTGCTCACATAGTGAGGAGAGAAAGGAGCCGTCACACTAGGAAAGGTCAACCATCAAATATACACAACACAGAGACACAAGGGACGCAACATCTGACAGAGAGAGATGGAAGGTGACAGAGAGTTAAGAGCGAAAGAGAAAGGGAGCGAGGGGAGTGGGTGGACTTATAGATGAGACACAGAAATAGAGTTCAAGGGTGTGGAAGAGCAAGAGACAGCCAGGGTGAGAAAGACAGACTATAAGAGATACAGGAAACAGGGAGAGCAAGTGTACCGTCCTGACTGGCTATAAATATAAGAAGGCAGAAAAGGTCAATAGTTGGCGTGTGGAGCAGAAATGTTCCACAAGGGCGAGGGGCTCATTTCGCCATCTCATATTCTGCTCTGCTGTTCTGTCAGTGTCACACAGAAAGGAGCAAGAGACTCTCAAGACACACTGATGGAGGAAATGTCATCTCGTGTGTCTCTAACGCAGACTCTCACGCACAAGCACACTAACCTGTATGGCGGACGAGACATTTGACAGAGACAAGCCTTGGAGGTCGGATAGCAGGCTCGAGGAGAGGACCACAGGCTTTGGTGCGTTTGTGGGTGCAGGAGTAACTAAGGCATGGAAAGAAAATGGAGAATGAAAACACTTGGGCCAGGCACTGCTGTTTACCAGTGTCTTTTCATGCTGCTCACTAAGGCTAAAAATCTCAAATTCTAAAACTTTAAAACAGCATTAATTGATTTTCTTGGCCACTTGGGGCTGCAGAAAAGCTGAAAACACAACAGCAGCCTTATTAACACCATATAACAGGGGAAGGCAATTACAACAGCAGTTCAATATTGAGTCTTTCAGAATTAGTCAGCAACTAAAATTGTTTATTGGCCCAGTTTAACCTGCAGGAGTTTTTGAAGGCCTGTGTAGTGCATGAAATAAATTCATAACTATAATGACGTCTTTACTGTAGAAACAAATCTGTCAACCACTGAAGAATTACAGCTGCATTGATAAAACGCTCAAAAAGAAAAGAAAATGATTCACACTGCCTCAAGAGTGGGTGCCTGTGACAGAGACAACTACACACATGTTGGTTTTATGCTCGACTCTTCTGCTTCTTCTCAAAAACAGACGTTGGACAAACGGGGGTAAAGCTTTGACCCTAAAAATTACAATCCTATGATGTGATTACTTTCTTAAATGCTGTAGTGGTTTACAGTGGGAGAGTGCAGATGAACTCACAGTCACACAGATCCAGTAAAGAAACTTCCTTCTTGGATTTCACCTCCACCTGAAAAACAAACAGCAACATTCTGATGAGCAACACAGAAGCAGAGGATGTAACAACAGGAAGACCAGGCAGAAACATCACAACTCAAAACAAAAGTACAGAAATTATGCATTGTGTTTTCCAGTGTGTGAAATATTTCAATTTCACTAACAACATCTCTCAAGACACATTCATCCCAAAAACAGATACTCTACATTTATATGTAGCATTTCTGGAATTGTCTATGACCACTCATGCTCAGTGTCACATCACAGCCGATACACGCCACCTTGTGTGGCTGAGTCAGGCTTGTCAGGTGTTGCCTTGTGGGAATTATGACACACGTCTCCAGCTCGCATCACAACAAGCCCAATAAAAATGCATCTAAACATACGAACGCTTTTATCACCCATTCTCCACACCCTCCCGACCAACCAAGGCCCCATTCAATTCACATAAGGAACCATAAAATTCCTCTCTGTGTACTCCAGACTGAGCTGATGGGAAGACAAAAATTACAGGACAGAGCAGGGAGTGAGGAATAAGAGAGTGAAAACAAAGTTAGAGGCCGTATCTTATCAGATCTTCACTGATTGACGCTCGGTGGTCGTAATAGAGATGGAAACCTTGTTAGTAAAAGCAGATCTGAAAGAGCAAGAGAGAGACAGGTGTACAGAAGGAGAGGGAGAGAAAGATGCATAATTCATAGGTCATGCCCAAATGACAAACTGTATGAAATGAGAATTTCATAGTGCAGAAAAAGAAAGGGCGGGCAAGAAATAATCTGATGATCCTAACAGGTAAGAAAAAAATGGGGAGAGCTGAAATTGGAGAGAATGAAGAGAAAAATAAATCTGATAACATGGAAGCAAAATGATATCCCACAGTTTAAAGAGTGGTTTCTAAGTACTTGCCACATATAGTTTACCTGAGGGTCAACAACTGTCTGAGAGAGAATGGTGTTCATAGTCAGAGAGTGGAACTAAGGCCAAAACAAGACTATTGTCTTGTTCCCTATTGTCCTGTTACAACACTATCATACCGGAGCTGCACGATTAATCATTTTGTGAGCAATTTAGATCCCTGTGCGACCTCAGTCTCACGTAATTCTGCCGTGTTTGCATTAAATCAAGTGCTCCCTTTTCCTCGCTAAGCTGCATTACCCAATAGCGGGAACACGTTACATCACGTGACGAGCTGTAGACAGGTAGAGAAGACCGATTCAAAAACAAATACAACATGTTTGACATTATGAAAGATATTTTTCAAACGTTGCCTGCCCTGTGCACCTAGCACAGAATAGCAGTTGAGGCAGAAATCAATCACTTTCACTTTGCGGTTATTGGTTAATGCAGCTTAGTGAGGAAAAGGGAGCGCTTGGTTTGATGCAAGGGATGTCATTGCTAATGCAAACACAACAGAATCATTATCATGTGAGACTGAAATCACACGGGGATCTAAATCACGCTCACACACTTATTGTGCAGCCCTATAATCTACACTGGTTTTATAGAGCACAGTGCACATAATACATCTTCTCTATCGGGGATGATCATTTTGGTTGAAACCGAGCTGAAACTATACACGATAGTGTGACAAAGTTATGTGTCTTTCTTCAGTTTCAGTTAAGAACTGTTACAGTAAAGGTCTGAAAATGGCTCCACATCATTTTTATTTAATACAAGATGATGAGCTACATTTACATGCAGTGTGTTGCCATGGCTACAAAGACCTACATAAACAGTTGTCTATTTTTAATGTCTATCTTTATATAGAGAGGTTAAAATGATCTCCCACTAATGTCACTGTGCAGCTGTTGTGCCAAGATATCACTTTAAGGACTAATAGCTCAACATATATATGACATGGGAGTATTGTATTAAAACCTAGGTTATAAGCTCAGTGTATACTGTACTTTGCATACATACATGTATTTTATTTGTGTATTTGAGCACATTTAGGCATATTTGCATAATGTTCTGGGTAAGCCAAAAACAAACTAAACAAAACTATGACATATTAGTACACTACTATTACATGGGAATGTAACTGTATATTCTAAAGTGCTCCTGATTCCTATTCAGTTAACAGGAGTAGATCTACTTGTTATGTTGTCTAATAGTTCTGATTATAAAGTGAGTTTTAGTATCAGTGTACGCCACTTTCTTGGGGCTGTCTAATTATGCCAGCAGTTAAAACAAACCAACAAAATTGAACTTACCATTAGACTCTCACAATCTTCTAATCTTATTTTCTTAATAGAAAATTCTTACATTTTTCAAATTTTGATAAATCAAAATGTATATGCTACAGACAAATCATGTCATACATTTTTAAAGTGTAAAAGCACATGTGGGTGTTCATGACAAAAACCAAAAATGTATATGAATTATTTTAATTATATAAACTTATGTTTTATATGTTTTGTATTGTAAGTATTTAATATAATCTGTAATTCACATGTGATCAACAGACTGGAAACAACCTCAGACACCATCTTAATGAGGGGAAGACTTCTTTCATTTTGAGGTATCTGCATTTTAGTTCACGCTGAATGCACTTCGCTGCTGTACAGGTGGTCAGAAAGTTACAAATCTTTTTGCTACTCTGTTCAACCATTTGTTCTTTCTAGGCCCAAATAAATCCAGTTTCCTACAACTAC